TTTTGTCCTTTTAAGTGGTCAGAAGACTGTGACATCTGCGTACAGTCACGTCTAAATTGATAATTGTCCAAGTGGAGTATAATTTTAAACCATAGCATCAAGAAAGTTGCATCTGTATATTAGAAGGTTGTTGAGAGGTGGTGTTTCCCACCTCCCGGGCCCCTGAATTTAAATGTGACCGCGCTCTCTGGTGGATTTATCCTAAGGTGGGAGAACAGCGTCCACCCAGGCTGAAGCAGTCTCAGTGAGGAGGAGGCTGTGGTTTCCCAGCCAACTTAAATGCAGGCTCTTCTTAGCAGTAAACCACACACATGTATTCATCATTGATTTCCAAATGATAGGTTTCAATATCACTGGTCTAGGGTCTACAGTCCCACATTCCTGAATCTATATTATGCCAAAAGAATAACAATTTGGTGGCTGGAAACAGAAATGGTTATTATACGGCTCCAAAATGCTGGCTGGCACAATATGCTTAAAATAGCAGAAATTTACTCATAAAAAATAGAATTTATTTGTTCATAAAAATAACTTTATGCTCTAAAAATATAAATGTTAAAAAAAATGTCATCGTAGCTGAAAATATTTTACATTCAGTATGTAAACACCTTAAAAGTATGTAACTAATCTTCTAAAGTGGTGTAATTTCCAAATAACAGGAAATATTTCAAGAGAGAGACATGGAACCCTTTTTAATTCGGTTCTTTACTTCTGAGGTGTTTACTGAGTGAAAACTCATGTATGTATGTTTCCTTTTTCTCCCTCTCCTACTGCTGTTGCCTCAAATCGCTGCTTTCAAATGTGGGCAGAAAGACGTCGGCTTTTTTGGAACGTCTCTTTTTGAAGAGACTTTTCACAGCCTCTGTGAAGCCTTTCCATTTCCTCACACCGGCCCCATGTCTGTCCTATCTCAGGACAGCACATTTCTCGAAGCGGTTTTACTTCCTTTTAGCAGAATTACGCCTCCATGCAAACCAGCATCGGCTTCTACCCAGGCAGGGCTTCAGTCTCTTCTCAGCTGCTAGGCTTCACTGCACTGCTTAACTGACATTTCTTCTTCTTCTTCTTTTGAAATTACTAGGCTAGTTTTCCATTTGATTGTTTATGTAAACCAGATCTCGCCCAGGGTTGACATGTACATGACACATGTCACTCCGTGCGCCTGTCCGGGCTGCAGCAGGTGGGAATGGGGGCTGCAAACGTCTTGGTTTTCTCCTTTGCCCTTCATTCAGGAGATTCTACAATTCAGTGTGAGGCCCTAACACAGAATAATGATCGGGGGGACACATTCAATACAAAACTGCTCTGAATATCCTCACTCACCCATCTTTTTTCTTAGGAGTATAATTTGTTTATATTTCTCCTTGTGAGAAAAGGTAAACGTGTTGTTTTGTTTAAGAACTTTTTTTTAACTACCAAACGCTGTCCAAATTAACTGTAACAGATAATTGGGTTTTGACATATTTAGCTAGCTATAATTTAGCAACTTTTCTTGATGGTTTATTATAGAAGACTAATTTATATTCAAATTCAGTGCAAATTTCTTAAGCAACTACTTTGTAGTTGACACATGTATTGGGGTGTTTCATTTGTTTTATTTTAGTTTTGCCTCAAGAAACTTGTTAATTTTTATCCATAATCCAATTGCAAGATTGAATCTTGCAGTTTTTAGTATGTTCAGATTATTTATTGATTCATGAAACAAAACAGGTAAATGAATTGGATATGAAGAACAAATGTGTTTTGGATCAGACGTTCCAAGTGGATTTTAATCTAGAAAGTATCCCCAGAGAGACAGTGTGGGAAGTAAGGGGCCAACATGAGGTGGAAGAGGCAAGAGAGGGTGAATATGTCAGAGTATATTGTATACATGTGTGAGCATGTCATAATGAAACCATTACTTTGTAAAATTAATATTGACCTAGCAAAAGGTTCTTACACGTGTCTTCTTGAAATAGTCCTGTGCTTTCTCTCCCCAGCTCCTTGTCTCTACCTGAAGCCATTGCCGTGGTCTCAAGAATGATCCACACAACTGGGTTTCCCCAAGTCCAGGCTTTCCAGTGCCTGTAGATATCTGATCAGTTCTATCTCTGTTCTGAAACTCTGGGTGGTCTCCGTTTCTACCACATTCACAGATCAACCTCCATAATCCTCCACAGAGCACTCCTTTTTCATTGGCTCCTTTGTAAGCAGATTCCTCTCCGTTTTCCTTAGGATGCTGGGTAAAATCCTTCCTCAGCCCTCTCCCTACCCAGTCACCCAAATCACAGGCTTAACTACCTCCTCTCTTTTGTTGAAAAGCAAAATAATTCCTGAACCTACATTATGTCATCTCTTCTCCCATAGAAGGTGGATAATGTATAATGTATATTATTCTACAGGCTTCTTGTCCTGGGCAGTCTTGTTTGTTTGTACACAAGTGTGGATTGCTTTATTACAAAGGATTTGAGAGCCTTCCAAGGCTGTAGCCTTGTCTCTGCCACCTCACTGAGTAGCACCTGGTCTTATCCTCTTAAGAGTAATTCTTTTGTGCAGACAGACAATAACAACCAAGTTTAACGTCCCTCGGGAAAACAACTGGCTGGTTTTCCAGGGACCATTTTAGAATCCTGCAGTGGGTTTCTCCTGTTCTCCATCAAGAAACCAGCAGACAGCTTTGTAAGTCATCTCTTACTCCAGTTCAGGTTGCCTTTTCACCCAGCTCCTTAGCTGTTTCTATCAGGGGTAGCAAATTTTAGATGTGGGAAATGTAAGCTTTGAAATGTCCACTTCGTTAGTAGGGAGCTAAATATCAGACCCTAAAAGAGCCCTAAGTCTTCACAATTAGTGACTTTCCCTGTGTCTGAATGACTCAGCGCTTCACTGGGGGCATCATAGTTCCGGTGCCCGTGGACTGTCACTTTTGAAGATTTTCATGAGCAGGAAATCGTGCCAGGCTTCAGGCTGTGTGCTGAACTTGGTGAGAAGGGTAAGCCAGATGCAAGGGAGGCCATGGTGAGCATTCACTTAGAGCCAAGGAGACTGAACAGCAAAATGTGGATGCAGCTTCCCCTCCCCCAGCCTGCCCTAGAAATTACAGCCTTGCTGCCTTGTCCCTTCTTCATCGAAGGATGCACAGACACACAGAATAAAACCCAAACCAACAAACTGAAAGAGTGAGTCACTCCGACCCGCCTCCGCCAAACTAGTCAATTAAAGTGCAGGACCAATTCTGTGCTTTTCTTAGATCCTGAACTGGCTGTCTGACTTTCTTCCGGGGGAGAAAAACTTAATAGGAAAAAAAAGCATATGATATGCAGATTTCTGATCAAGTTAACAAAGATTCGCTCTCTTCTCACAGAAAAAGTTTTTAATATTCTTTCAGAGGTATATGAAACAATTAACTAGGTTGCTGCCTGTCACGAAGAGGGTAAATCAGTCAGCCTATGAGCTTTCATGTGTTCCTAGCAATGGCTCACTGTTAAGTGTTCTCTTTTATTCTCTTCCAGGCTGTTCTTTCAAAGCATGCTCGAATCTAGATTCTTCCCTGAGTTCTGTCACTGTTTTGTATTAACAGGGAATGGATATGGCAACCCCCGAAACTCACCAGGTCTGCTGGTCTCACCTGGTAACTTGAACAAGAATATCCAAGCCAAATCTCCTCCCCCTATGAATCTAGGGATGAATAATCGGAAGCCAGATCTCCGAGTTCTTATTCCACCAGGCAGCAAGAACACCATGCCATCAGTGGTAATGCCCAACTTCTGTCCTTAATACGTGTTGATGAGAGCTTGTCTGGATGTGCTTTGCTGTTATTGTTTGTTGACATAGGAATTTCTTATGTCACCCCAGAAAATTAACACTATTGGTGAATGGTGCTTTTAATCCTATTGAAGGGGCTGATTTTGCATTTTCTTTTTCTATATTAAAAGAAATCCAATAAACTCTTCATCAGGGTTGTTTTTCTGGAATATGAAAAAGCAGTTCTTCCTAAGGCTCTAAGTTTATAGTTAGAAAAGCAGTTCTACCGCAGATCAGATCACAGCCCATAGGAAGAGTAATTATGAAGAGCTCCGTGGAAGTAGTTTCACATTGTTGAGCTATTTGTGTTCTCGGGATGCTGACAGTGAAAAACGCTTTCCCTGATTCCTAAATGAAATGTCTTACATTAATTGGAAATCTCCTTCTTATGTATCACTTATTTAATATCTAGTATGTCATATGCCTTAACATTGTCTCAGCTCATCTTTGCATATACATACTTAATGAAAATTACTAACTCCCCCAAGCAAGCTGTGTTAAAACCCAAGAAAATCTGAGAACCAATGTTACATTTTATATCAAAAAATGTTGTGATGTGCTTTTAAGGGAAAATATAGAAATATAAAATATAGACCTAAGCATATATAAAATTCACATGCTGTATCATTTCTTGCTCATGAGACTCATACCTAAGATGGAAAGAATATTGTGGTATCAAACTCAAAAACAAAGATAGATAGATAGACAGACAGACAGATAGATAGACAGATTACAAGTAGAGTGTTCTCCAAATCAGCAGTGCTTACCAGTGAGAACATTTATAACAAAGATTTAGTAGACAGATTTAAATTATTCTACAAATATTTCTTTCTGTTTTTTAGAATGCTCTGCTCTGTGGCATGCTTAGGAGTAAAATAGTCCTGTGGACTGATTATTATTATTATATTCATTTTTGAGTATCTAGCCAAAATCAAATAATATGTGACATTCCCTTTAGAAAAGACTGGATATAATAAATAAAACCTCCCACGGTGATACAGTCGATGAGGGCCAGGCATGGCAAGCAATGTCTCTCAGCAGATTTATTCCACATCCCTTAAAACTGGTGCATTCCCAAAGATTCTGCAATTGGCAGGTCATGTCTCTCCCTGGTTATCAGGTGTGACCCCCTCCCTTCCCTCTAGCAAGTAGGTATAAAGTACAGTCCTTTTCTTTAAATCAGAATTTGGTGGTGAAATAATGAACATGGAGACACTGACCTGTGCTGAAACCCAGATAGACTGCCTTCCCGTTCGAGACCAGCATCTCACTAAAGGAAACAAAGAATGCCTTTGTTAGGAGTTGTCTTTGGAGTGTGGTGTGTAAAACCGCTTAAATTGTTGTGTCTGTCAAGGGGTGCTTCTCGTTTTGTTGAAAAGATTTTTCACAGTTATAAATATTTACATACACTAATTAATAAACTCCTTCCCCATGCTCTCAGTCTGAGGATGTGGACCTGCTGCTGGTAAGTGGTAAGAATGTTTCCTTGGAGGGCACCGTTCAGGACGATAACAAAACTACTTCAGTGTAGGGTGCTAGCTGTGTTCAAATGGACAGATTTTAAAATTTACCTTACTGAATGACAATATTGATTATGCTTAAGCATCATTAGTTTCTAGGGTCACTGACTGGTGAAAAAGATCATCTGGTTCTTGTGGGCCTTTCCCCCCTTCCCTACCTTTTTTAACTAGAGGCCATTTTTTAAATGTTTTAAGACTGAACTTTCTCTAAAATCCAAACGCAAAAAAATATTTCTTGAGTTATCGAGCAGTAAAATGCTTATTTTTCAAGATTTAAAATACCATTATTCTAAGTGAATGCATCTTTCACCTCCTTGTTATAAGGAGTTAATTACTGGCTTTAGCTACTTTGCCATCTTTTTGAGGAAGTTTAGAAGCTGAAGAAAGTGGCCAGAGCACCACCTGCTGGTCAGAATGTAACATGACCCCCATCTCTGTCAGCTCGGCTGCATATAGAACTAACTGATCATAAAACCCACCGTGGTTGATTTTAATTTTTTAATTTGCATTTGAATAAAAACTGAAACAATAGCAGTACAGTATACATATTTCATCAGTTCTCAACATAGTCTGTTTTTACCCATAATAAAGCTATGGTACTTGTTACTAGTTCAGTTGCCTAGGAGATACTGATGTAATGGGTTACTATGGCAACAGCTGGTCTCTTGAAGGATTGTAAATGATAGGGTTGGCAGAGTTCATAGAGACACATGTTAAATGATTAATTTCACGAGCTTTGTAGCAACTTATTTCTTTATGTGAAAAACTAATAGTGAGACCTAATATTTTTAACTTTTTAAAATCTGCCATCAATAATGTCCTTTTATTTACTTTAAAAGAATCAAAGGATAAATAACTCCCAGTCGGCTCAGTCATTGGCTACTCCAGTGGTTTCCGTAGCAACTCCTACTTTACCAGGACAAGGAATGGGAGGATATCCATCAGCCATTTCAACAACATATGGTACTGGTGAGTAGCTTTGCTATGTGCAAATATTACAGTAAACACTTCTTTAAAAAGCATATTTTAAAAGTTATGTTCTTTACCCTGTAGGGAGCTTGTGTGGTGCCTGGGTCCAGAATGTACTGTACCATTACTTATGCTTTCCTAAGGCAAAGTGATTGTCTACAGTGCTCTTTTCTGAGTGCCTGGAAGTTTTATTCACCCAAAGTGAATTCAAAATGTCAAGGACATCGAGCTACTATTTCTTTAGTGTAATAGAAAGCTCACTTTATTGAGATTTTTAAATGAGAAAAAAATTCTAGACCGTAAAACATGTGCATACTTTACACTTTTAAACAAAGTTAGTATAATAAGCTATAATTGCAGGGTCTACTACTTTAAACCTTTTGTGAAATCCTTACTTGGGTGAATAAAATTCTTCTTTTTAAATTAAAATGATCCCTGGTGTTTTATTTTCTTCTTTCCTCAAATCAAAATCTTTGACTCGGTGTTTTTGGAATTGAAAATGTTGGATTTTGTTTGCCATTGGACAGTTTCCAAACTAAGTGTTTCTCTTGCTCTCCTTCCTCTTCCTCTAGAGTACTCCCTGAGCAGTGCAGACCTGTCGTCTCTCTCTGGCTTCAACACTGCCAGTGCGCTTCACCTGGGCTCAGTAACCGGCTGGCAGCAGCAGCACCTACATAGCATGCCACCATCTGCCCTCAGTCAGTTGGGGTAAGCAGTATTTACGTCTTTCTGTCCTAACCAGAGGTGGTGTTTTTAAATGATGAAGGCCTGTCTTTAACAATGTGCTTTCGTGTCCACTAAAGGGCATAAAATTGAACCTCTGTGAAAGACACTTTCAGATCACATGTTTCAAATAGCTTAAATATCACTTCACATGTTTTTTTGCATGAATGTGAGGCACTAATATTTAGGTACAGTCTTTCCTTCATGTGTGAGACTCTGTTTCCTTCTAACATTCTGTCAGTGATGGAGGTTTGGATTAGATTTCTGCAGGGTTAGGGGGTTTTTTTGGAAATTTTGAAAGTATTTATAGTTATAATTCTTTACATTTTTTTGAGCTGAGTTTCTCACTTAGCACAAACTACATAATTTCCCCTAATGTGAACCTAATGTTCATAGCAACAACTGTTGAATTTCTATGTAGGCTTTAAATATGTATAATGTATTCATAGTATAGTTGTCTAGTTATATCCATTGTATTAAAATATGTGCACAAATACTAATTAACACATGCAATACTAATTACTGAATTTGAGTATAAAAATCGTTGTTCTCTGGTCAAAGTATGTATCTTTCTGCCCCCTTGTGGTAGCTTTGAGATGCATCTTTGTCATAGAAATGACTTCTGTCATTTATCTATGGAGAAACTCAAACTCTAAAATGCCCTGAATCCACAATTTACACTCTATCTTGTAGCAATTAAACCAGGCACCACATTTTAATTTGAAATAATAATTACAGAATTCAGTTAGTCTTAGAAAACAAATAGGACATAACAACTTAAAAATGAATTTTTATATTTTAGAAACATCCTACATACCCATACCACTTTCAGTTTTCTATTGAGCCATTTTAGTTACAAGTTAGTAATATTATTTAACTAGTTTTGTATCTGAATGCCCAGGAAGGTCTATTGATTCAAATACAAGTCATTAGCTGGTACTATAACTTCACTGTTCCTGGCTTCTCCTCTCCCCTCCCCCACAGCATTTCATTTGGTATTGATGTAATGTAGATCAGAGTTCTAAAATACCATTCAAGAGTCGCTTGCTGTGGCCGTTCCACTGACAAATCACTGTCACTGAAAATCTACCCTTCATGTGCACAATTAGACAAATTCACATGGTATTGTGGCTGTGCTTTCTTGAAAGGGTACTGCCATTAAAGATGTATGAAATGTTGGTCAACAGTGTTCTTCTTATGGCATTTAAATTTTCCCTCCAGCACTAATTATATAGGTAAATTCTAGATGCAATAGCTTTTTCTGGAAATTATCACTAAGTACATAATACTACCCAGACAATTTTATATATACATGCATACACAGCATTGTACTGACCTACTACTTGTCAACAATAAGGGCAACTGTTCATCTAATTTTTCACAAAATTCATCCATCATAACACTAAATTCCATCCCCCCAACAAGGTATTATCTATGTCAAAAAGCCACATAATGACCAGCCAGATGTCTCAATGGCTAAAGGTGCTTGTCACAAAACCTCATTAGCAACCTTGACAGCCTAACTTTGATGTCTGGGACTCCCGTGGAGAAAGAGAATCAACTGCTCTGGGTAGACACGCACTTGCACATACATAGAACAAACAAATACGTAATACAAGAAGTCGTGTCATTTCATTTGAATACCATTCTTCTTTTTGCTTATGAATGATGCCAGATCATTTTTAATTATGAGGGTCTATACATATTTGTTATTTTGACCATACACACAATTTAAAAACCTATCACATGGGGAAAACATAATTCTCTACTACCCTTAAGCGAGAAGAGAATGAGTGGCACCCCAAGAATAAAGGAAAACTGAATTCCATCAGCCAAGGATCCCCCTTTTTCTTTCAAAACCAAATCTTCTTTGCATAATATTTGAATTTAGTCTATGAGCTGCAGTTGTACTTAATCATTCCCAGACCCCTCACATTGATAGGCTGAACAAGCCTTTACAGCCCTCAGTCAGCACCAGCCCCTGCCCCTCTCCTCCTGTCACCCTATGCCATCTTCCTCATCCTCTCTCACAGCAGCTGTTGATAAGGTATCTTCAGATAAGCTACCTCATCTTCTCACATACTGTTCTGTAGAAAACCCCAACTTATTACTTGTATGTAAAATAAAGTATATGGACTGCCTTAATTCCTTAGAGCAGCGGTTCTCAACCTGTGGGTCGAAACTCCTTTTGGGGGGTCGTGTATCAGATATCCTGCATATCATATATTTACATTATGATTCATACCCATAACAAAATTACAATTTTGAAGTAGCAATGAAATAATATTGTGATTGGGGTCACCACAACATGAGGAGCTGTATTAAAGAGGTGCAGCAGTAGGAAGGTTGAGAACCACTAGCCTTAGAGAATGAATCAGGTAAAAGGATTGGTATGTTTTCCAAGTCAAAGGGTCTCACAGATTTGTGCTTAGGGCTCATTTTTTTTAGGTAGGTACTATATTTTAAGCACAGAATGGGATAGATTTTTACCTCTACCAAAGTCAAGACTTTCAGAATTCTAAAACGACTACTGTAGTTCTCTCAAAATAACAAAGTGTAATAGAACTCTCCTATTTGTCCATGAAAACAAAGGTGTCCACTTGGTCCCTTCCAGCACTGTCTGCAAGGCCAGGCTTGAGACACTATGTAGTGTCTATTTTGTATAACAAAGTTAGACAAGAAGCATACACTAATTGTATGTAGGAAGAGACATTTCCGGTAAAGGGACTCACCATTTTAGAGACACAACCCTTGACCTTTAGGCCCTCTTTTGATTGCTGGCTAGAAAATGACAACCTGTTTCCTGGAAGTCTGCCCATCCCTTTGTTGATGAGAGTACTCAATACATACCGAGAGACGGGGAGAGAAAGACTAAACAGAGATTACTTTTAAAAGTTAGGCTCCATGGGCTGTGTGTGGTTCCAGTCTTATTCTGCTCTACATAGTAAGTTTCAGGTCAGTCAGAGCTACAGTGTGAAACCCAGCCTCCAGGGGCAAAAAGAGGTGAGGCTCAGAGGCTGGAGAGAGGATGGCTTAGCAGCTCAAAGTGTGACTGGTC